AGAGTAAGAATTATTATATATATATATATATATATTTATATATATATGTCGCTTTTATCTTTTAACCATCTTCAAAATGTGGTTGTCTTTTCAACATAGATTAGCCTAGCACGTAGCGTATCTAAGAACAGGAAAGGCGCTTGCTCAACTGTTATTGGATAACTATTATACATGAATAGAACTTTAAGTATTACACTAGTCACAAATTCAAATGTCCATGGAGAAAGTGTTCAGTTGGTAGGAACATCTAATGGACATGTTAAACAATGGCAAACACAGCAACCCATTCACTCCAATGAAAGCTAGACTTTATATACTACACTTAAGCATGCACCCCCTACCACAATGAAACTGCCTTCCAACCAATTAACCCATACAATATAATATTATGAACACAGGATAAAACTACCAGAACCACAACGAAATCCTTTTGGTGGAAACATAACTGTTTTATTTAAGAACTGAAACGCACCCTGATGTTAAATGCACATGAACACTAACACAGCCCCCTAAACTCTGGCTGTGTGGCTCCCTACCTTGTGCCAGCAGGTGCAGTGTGTATGGCAGGGTTGGCAGGCAGACAGAGGCAGGTAGGTGGCGCTGGCATCAGGCAGGGAGCAGGCAGCGGGGGACAACGAGGCCACAGGCAGGGACACGGTCTGATGGTGATAGTGGTGGTGTGGCTGAGTGTAACAGACAGCAGCTCGGTCCCCGCTGGGGCCAGCTGCTTGAGCCTCTCCTCCTCCTCCTCCTCCTCCTCCACTGCTCACCTGCAACAACCAGCATGTTCGGTCAGATGCCAAAATCAGAAAGGCAGCTGGAGGAAGATGTGACAGTTGTGTCGTCACTTGTTCTACCTATCTCTAGTCTGAAAATCACAAGAGACAAAAAGGTCTTTTGCTGTCTTGTATCACCCCTTGTTAAACTTTGAACTGATCTCTGAGAAAGGAAGTTCAAAAAGACACATATTGAAACTTAATCTTAAAAGTTGTACGTTGTAGCCTGTACTGTATCATTAAGATTGAGAGCAAAGATGATGCAAAGGCCCCAGAAAGCATATCTGAACATGCATCATCAGTATTGATGACGCATGTTCAGATATGCTTTCAATCAGTATTGATTCTTCTTGTCCCTACAGTGTGCTGTTTGAATGCTGTCTGTGTACAGTTTGACACTAGAAGGATGTTTTCACATTCAATCTGCTTGAAAGTGGAGTTTCTCCTGTGCTCATTGAACATCTGATTTTAAGGGGCGGGGCCTACCAGCAGGATTTGTGACATCACAAATAGTTAGGAAGTCAGGTCCTGGTCCAGTATCAACTTGTACAGTGTGATGTAGAAACTTGAAGCCCACCAGTGCACAGTCCACTGAGAATGGACTTTACAGTGAAGTAGGAGACATCTTGTGTCCAGAAGTGGAGGAAAACTTTAAAAAGGACTAAAGGATTTGCATATTCATAGATTCTGACATTTTTAATTAGGTAGAAGCCTTTATAGAGTGGATGCCTCTTCAAGGATTTGTGAAAATGATGCTTTTATGTGGAAGAAACACATCAGACGAATGTTTTACAGCTGGGGTCTCCGCAACAGAAGCCATCTGTAATATAAAGTTCTGAAAACATCAGTCAGAAATCTTTCATCCAAAGTATTTCTCCTGAGCACTGTGATGTATCAAAGTGATAAACAATGTTAAGTATGTTTTTGAGCTGTTTAATGAGACCCAGGGCAGTTCTTGCTCCAGTCTTTGCCCAAAATCTAGTGGATCCTGTCATTTTGGTTGTTTCTGGGCTGATACTTTCTTATAATAAATCTAATACAGCCTCATGGAATTATAGCTGGTGAAAGATGTATGCCACGATCACAGAAGCTATCAAGATTCAGCCGTGAACAAAATAAGATTGGACATAAATGCTTCTGTCAACAAACAAGAACATCTTTCTAATCTGACCTCAGCTGTGGTCGACATCGTAAACTCACCTTTACTTTGTTCACCACTGACTGACACGTGACTGAGGCAGCCTGTCATTGACTCAGTCTCACCTGTAATTTTGGTGTTAGGCATCATGTCAGTGCACTGTACTCATCTGTAGCATATTTCCTCTGGCAGGTCTCAGATAAACCTGGAATTAGTAGGTGTTTCACCTGCTATAATGACTCTTCTTATCCTCCGAGCAGGTGAAAAGCTCACCTGTGGCCGGGGGCCTGATGGATGGGGGTGGACGCTATGATAACTCCGAGCCCCCCGCACTTGTTAACAACACCCAGCGCTTTGGATTTACGGGACTCTTTTATCCTAAAGGAGGCACTGTGTCAGAGAGGTGTGGATTTGTAGCAGAGCAGCAGTCTGCAGCAGGTTGGCATGCAGTCACCTGCTTCACAACCTCCTTCATCTAACTCTTGGTTCACACAGTGGGGTTACCGCAGGTTCTCAGCCAGCCACCGAGCAAAACTCTCACTAGTTATTGGGTTTTATGTACGCTGTTCACACTCATGGGACTATGTATATAGGAGTGTTTTTGGAGCTGCTTTCACTTCCTCTGACAGACAACCCGCATGAGAACACATTTCACCATGTTACACTTCTATCAGCTGATACAGCCTGTGCCCATTACATCTGAGTGGAAGAATTTCGTAAAATGCCATTTAACAGATCATCTAAATGTTGAGTTACTACTATGGTGGTACTCAAACATGTTTTTCCATAAGTTTCTTGACATCTATGTAGAACTTGGCAAGTGATTCCATGTCATACTCTGTGTTGGGTTTTAAAGCACCATTTGCTTGTTTCCAAGTATTTTCTACACTCCACTCAGCTAGCATTCAAATGGTTTCAATGAAGAAGGTCATTTGGTAATAGCCAAATTACTTCAACCACAAGCAAATTAACGTGAAGTGATATTTTCTGCGGGCTGACAGCTGTGCCCCTGCTCCCTCCTCCTGGTGACCCCGTGCAGGTGAGGTGTGAACCTCCACCCTGAGCATCCCTCTCACCTGCAGGATGTCCTGGATCTGGCCGAGCTGCTGTCTCAGCACCTGCTTCTGGTGGAAGCTGAAGGCCGGGTGGTGCGAGGCCATGGTGAACAGTAAGAGAAACTGCTCCTCGGTCCTCCCGTCGTTCAGCGCCAGGCCGTAGTTATTGATCACCGTGTCTATGTGAGTCAGGGTCCGGTACAGGACCCCCGCCGCCTCCCTGTTGTCCGAGCCGAGCAGGGCCAGGGACACCAGCAGCTTGCTGCGCACCACCTCGTCCGTGATGTTGGTGAGGCCCGAAAGGTCAGCGGGGTTGTTGGCCTTGATCTCCGCATCCCGGAGGGAGTGGTAGTCCTTGCGCGCCAAGTCCTCCAGGCAGGAGCCGAGGAAGCGGAGCTCGATGGGGACGCAGAGGTCCAGAAGGCCGCACAGGAACTCGGCTCTCTGGGCTGAGGTGAGGGAGGAGAACCAGCGGTACACCCCCTCCCTCTGGACGCAGCTCCGGCTCTCCACCATCCTCACACATCCACTCAAACTGAACTTGAACTTGTTTTTCTCGGGACAACAGCTGGAATCAAAATGTCAGACTTTCAACTGACAGAAAACTTCCAAACAAAGGGAGCGCGCGCGTGTGTATGTGTGTGCGTGCGTGCGTAAATGCGCAGGCGCACGTGAGCAGCACTACTCTCGAGAGCTACTTTGTCAACTTTAACTTAAGTCAGTGACTGACTGTGTTTGCGGCCGCAGCAGTGGAATAAAAGAGGCAACAGTCGTTTCCTTTGTTGGCGGACCGAGCAGGAGGCCTTTCCGAATCATAATCTCACCAAGTCGCCTCACAAGAAGCCAAAGTGGTCTGGTTTGTGTTCAGCACGCAGCACGGCAGCAAGGCAGCAAGGAGTCCCTCCGCCGTGTCCCTCCCCGCCGGTCGGACCGCTGTCCCCCTGACGGTCCAGAAACAGCTCTTGCAGGAAGGCAGAGGGGATCAAAACACACCGCCCCATTCAAGGAGACGCTTTTTGATCGGAGCCGCCCCGCTGTCCTGTCCCGCACGGCACAACAATCCCTCCCTGTAGAGTTGTTCCTCCGTCCTCATGGTTTTCCACAACTTGTGCGAGGAGCCGTCGGCTCAAGTCCCGACTGCTAGCAAGACTGTGCTGGAGTTAAAGTTCAGAAACAAAACTAGTGTGGCCCGAAGCTGCTGCTGCTGCTGCCACTGGAAATAACATTATAACATTTCCGAGACATTACCTCATCTAACGCTGCTGTGGAAAAACAAACTCACAGATACTGGAGGTTTTGTTCACTGCACATGAATGAATTCCGTGCAAAATATAGTTGTACACTGCCTGCATTCTGCCATGAGTCTTGAAATCCAGAAAAAAACAGCTGTGTATAACATTATCCCAACTCTGGCAGCAAATCCAGCCCACCATGTAGACATTACTGCTCTGATTGGCTGGGACCTCCGTCGATTTTCCGAGGTCTCTCTTGTGATTGGCTCAGAGGGATATTCCCTGCCCTGCTATTTCACATCTTTTTCTCATGCGCTCATACATATCTCCGCTTGGTCACTGGAGCTTTAAAGTGCCAGATACACGTTGAACTGTAATCTATTTAGTATGACAGTCTCACCAAGAGGAAAGCCATGCTCTACATCCCCCAAGACTAATTAAGTTCCTACTTTTAGTGTCGTTAACTTTTTCAGTTTTCAGAAGTAAGCTAGGCTCCTCAGATATGACAGCAACATTACTTTAACTAGAAAAATAAAGTTTAATGACGGCCACTACTGACTATATATACTACAGTTATATAGTATATTTACAGTTAACTCCTCAGTGTGCTACAGTGAAGACCCTTGATGATGACATTTTGTAGTTCATATCTCGGACCAGAAGATGGCGCCAGGGGTCCATGTTGAAACCCGATGCAGCAGCACACTTGCTGATGGATGTGGTGTTGCATCCATCATGACACCTGACCATGCCTCATCACAGATGATAAAAACATCGTGATTTTTAAATGTTGATTAAACACAGCTTTACTTGACATGACATGTATTAGCTATAGTTTCCCCCATCCTGCACTTCTGTGTTCTTCTTCTCTACTTCCTCCTCTTCTCCATCAATACAGCCTCCCTCCATCCTCCCTCTCATTGAGAACATTGGTCTCTAAAGGTAAACCCCGCCCCCCAAACGCAAGCACCGCCCCTCCGCTGACGGAGGAAAATTCAGTTACGGTTGCTATAGTAACCGTACCCCTCCCTCTCAACCAGGCATGTACCACTCCCTCTGCATCAGGGATGCTGCCTAACACACAACCCCACACATGAAAAGTATGAAAACACAACACAGCAACACAAAGAAAGAGACAAAAGCCAAGATTCATTTTCTTTCAAACACTTTCATTATTTTCTCCACATAACTCAAAAACAAAACAGAGTAATTCCCAGAAACAGAAAGAAAGAAAGAAAGAAAGAAAGAAAGAGAAAGAAAGAAAGAAAGAAAGAAAGGAGAGTCAAACTATAGAGAGAGAGCTTGGCATGCTGTAGCATGCTGCGGACTAACAGGGTGGTGCAGGGCATCGTCACCAGGCTGATGGCATACAGCAGAGCTTCAGTCTGGGACCCAAATGAAATGAAAATAAATTGTTCTGCCTCTCGGGGTGCAGACACATTAGACTGTACTCTTGTAATAATGTGAGGAAACACCAGAAATGAGCCTACAGCCGAGTTTGAGTTCCTATCCATAGTTTGAGAAACGCTGTGAGAGAAAATACAACAGCGAGCCTCCCTGCCCCCTGGAAGTTGTTACCGATGGCAACAGGCTCAGCCATCCCATCACGTGGAAGGAGGAGGATGCACACACATGTTCAGACACTCGGATGAGCGTTCATGTGCACACATGCAAACAAACACAGAGGCTGGTCTGCCAGATGGGTTCGAGAGACACACGCACACACACCCTTCACTGGACTATAAAAATAGACAAATTGTGACTGGTATTTGTGACCTCACTTTGTCTGTCTGTCATTCAGGGTCTTGGATCGGTGGAGGAGAATCTGAGGAATGGGGGCGGTGAATCCCAACCTCGATCCTGGCCACTGCTTGCTTCTACACTACAACAGACTTACATAATTTCCTTTCATACAGTTAGTTCTTGTCAGGCTGCTTGGGGAATCACTTCCTCCACATAGAGGCTTCAATTTGTTTCATTTAACCCGGAAAAGATCAATAACTTTTATCTCAGCTTCATGATCAGTGCCAAATAGGCTTCTTCTCCAGACACTGTTCCTATCAAAACTTAACATGTCGCGTGTGCTTCTGAAGCTTATTTCACTTTCAGATTTGACGCACAACTAAGATATTACAGTACATATGCATGCATTGTTGTACTTTTATCAATTTGCGCTACAAAAGCAAGGCAAGTGGCGACTAACTTTTTTTCAGACATCTTGCAAGTATAGTATAAAAGATGTAGTCGTCTTCAGGTTAAGTTTTAAGAGAAGCAGTGGGAGACACTGATTTATCAATGTGATATTGTCTTTAAAGCTGTATCGTTGGTGGTGCACGTTACAAGCTTTGCTTTAGTGAATGCAGTATTGCCTCTAAACACCTCTGCTAGTGGTACAGTAGGCGCAGGGCTTTGCCAAGGACGGTCTGTCTTGAACTACCACCAACTCAGAAGAAGCTCCATCCTCTGACTGGTGTGTGTGGAGGCGGGAGAGAGTAGGAGGGAGAGACAGAGAGAGCACAGCTGTCAGCTGATGCTAGTAGGCTGGATGTGGATGAGCAGTGACTGTGTCCTCATGAGATGCTCTTGTAAAGTTCATGAACAGCGTGAAAGGCCACTGAGCTACTTGGAGATCACACACATACATACATACATACATACACACACACACACACACACACACACACACATACATACATACTACATATACACATTGCTGGAAAAGACGCTGCAGCTTGATACAAACACGCTCACAAAAACCCATTTACACACATGCACACTGCAAACTTACTGTATATACACTATGCAGAGAAGCACATAAACCTGCATTCATTTGTTCACAAACACACACACACACATTTCCAGCACGAGATGAAGAATGAGAGGACACAGACATCAGAGCGTGGATGGATGAATAAGAGGGATGGGGTAAAAGCAATGAGTGTGTGTGTGTGTGTGGTGTGTGTGTGTGTGTGTGTGTGGGGTTTGGTGTGTGTGGACCCCCAGGGAGCCATGTACTCCAGGAAGCACACTCTGGCCAGTCCTTAAGACACACCACCACACACACACATGAACACACACCTTGAACCATCAGTAACAACACCTGGGCAGGCAGAGGAACCAAAAGGCAGGAGTTATATAAAGAGGGGTGGAGGGTTACAAAATAAAGAATATATCCATCAACATATTGTACATGAGAGAAAATGTTAATAAATAAATTATAAGTTACAAATCTGTTGAAAACTATGATTTGAAGATGAAAAAGTCTGTCTCGTCAGTCCTGTCTGCAGACAGTGGAAGCAGACATCTCGCTGTAATGCCAGCTGTAGCTCTCATGGCCTGGGGATCAGACCAGTTCAGTCCATTTGAGTCTATATGTGAACTACTGAAGCTCACTTAAGTCCAGTTTCTGGACTATATTATCTCCATGTAGTCCAGTTACCCGGACTGCTTCACCCCTCTTTTGTCCACTTCTTTGGGCTCTGCACCTCAGCATCTCTTTCACGAAGACTGGACCAAGCATAGCTGAGGTTAGCCCGGGTCAGCCATCTTTAGCCCAAATGATGGCGGAGCCCTCCTTGGTCCTAGTCTTCCTTCGGCCGGTTGCAGTCCCCTCGCCAGGAACACGAGGGAGCAGCAGATTCGTTGTAATACTCATATGAATTTATAGTTGTTGTAGCATAGATAGGCTGACTCTGAAAGTGGTGCTGTCCTTAAATAAAAAAGTGGATAAACAAAATAGCCACTCCAATGTTGAGCAGAATCACCATGACAACCAGGATAGAGCTGTAGGCCTGCGTGGGAGAGAGAGAACGAGAGAAAAGGGAAAAAGGGCTGAGTGATAATAATAAGGACACACACACACACACACACACAAACACACACAAGGCTGATTTCATACAGACAGTATATCTAACCTGCTAATCAATGTACACACAGTCATTTATATCCATCCTTTACCTTTTCAAAGCAATACACAACACCTGAGACACTTTTTATTGGCACAGGTGCTCATTAATATGTCAATATATGCAGAACAAAAAAAAACACAAACCAATCAGTTAAGTGTAGGTTGTAAGGTGCTTTGCTTTAACAACTTAAGCACAACTTAAAGGACCGAACCACTTTTTACATTAAGGTCAATGACTCTCCTCTATTTTATCAATATATTCATATGAAATTGTTGTGATTAAAGGATTTCTGTTTTTTACACTTTTAACATCCCGTTAATGGACCTTACATAACAGCATGCACATCAATCGTCCCCCTGCTGTCAGGTGAATTCTGGTAACTGTCACTTCAGCTGGAGGAGGTTCTTTTACTGGGTTAGAAAATCCTCCAGCCCTGGGGTTTATAAAACCTTTTCAAAACATCACAAATTAACTCAAACACATGGGTGTCAAGTTAAATACAATGCTCTGATATTCTGAAGATGCAAGGTTTCCACCTGACGACAGTGATATTGATGCTGGCTTTAGTGCTGCTATAACTAATGACGTTGGAGCTTTTTCTGAGTTAATTTCAGCCACAGTGTGGTTTCTCTTCAAATATGTGGAGAAAACCTACATTGTTTTTCTAACTATTGGGTGTACTCAGCCAATAGTTAGAAATGTCTATCTATTTAATGTAGAAAATAGGTAAAAGAGTAGGTAAAACTTTCTTCTGTAGCACTTTATAAAACCAGGGTTACAAAGTGCTACAAAAAAAGCATTTGAATGAATATTTAGGTCAAAGTCAAGGAAACTAAGCATCACCTGAGATAGTGAACCTGTATGTATGTATGCATGAACAGCTAGTCACTATCAACAGGATGGAGCCAAATTGTGTAACACCTTTTAAGTAATTAGAAATATTCTGAAAGCAAGAGCTGCTAACCCACTGCCTCAGACCTAATAAGATATTACTGGTTTCATTGTTTTGGTGATTTCTGAAAGCATGACACAATACAAACAATCACATCAAAAGCAAATGTCAAAAAATGAATAAATCGTAATGGTGTTTAATATTTGCAGTGTATTTTTGACATGAAGTGCATGAAGATAAGATCCAGTAGCCATGACGATACATGTGCAATGATGATGGAGCAATTTGCATCTTAAAAAAAGGATACAATCCTGTTTTAATCCCACAGGGAAGCCCACCTTCCCTGACAGAGTGAGGTCGGAGGGCAAGCTCTGCTGCAGAACAGCAGCCTGGAGCTGGTGGGGAGTCAGTGTCTTGCTCGATGACACTTCAGCAGATGCTTGGTGACAACCTGGGTCATGTGGGTGAAGGCCAGTCTTTCTGACCACCTGTCTACTCTGGGTAAATATGTGAAAGTGAATCTAGTTTAATCACTGACATTATCATTGATGCAGTAGTTTTTATTTTTACTTTACGCAGAATCCCTCATAAATAGTTTCTCAAACATTTTACCAGTATTTACATAGAATGAATTTTGGTCTTATTAAAGGATTTACCAAAAGGGGAGGTGCAGAAGGCCTATGGTTTTAATTAAGTCTACTTCTAAAATCATTTTAACAATAGCTGCAGTGGGAGAGGGAAAATGGGACTCTGAGTAACACTACACACTGATATTAAGCAGCATTAGCGCAACATTGTTGTAAATTAATCTGTCCAGAGTGGCTGCTTACAAGGTTTCTACTGATCAATCCGGTGATAGGCTTATCACAAATCTGTGCCATAGATGATTACCAGACCAGGAAGGTGAAATCCTCTGATAATCAGCAGTTTCTACCTCTATTTAGTATGAAATATGTGTGTGCAATCACAGTATATATATATTTACAGTTTCCACTTTTTACAAGGTGTTAGTTTATTAGTGAATAATTAGATTATTTTTCAGTCTACTTCATTTGTGCCAAATGAGCAAAGTCATTCACAATAAGTGTTTATATATACATATATATATGTTGGGCTTCTGAATATATGAATTGTTGTGTTTTCATTACCTTAGAATGAGACGATTTTATCTACAGAGGGAGCAAGTCCTCTTCTGCCGTGTGAACCGCCATGTTTTTACAGTAGTCTAGAAAGGACAACTCAAATAGTGGCTCTAGATAGGGCCTCTAGCGTTTTTTATGTGTTTCACAGCCACTATAGTTTCTCATACACGCTTTGAACAAGAGTGCGAAGTGAGTGAGTTGCAATCTGCAACTACAGCACTAGATGCCATTAAATCCTACATACTGGACCTTTAAAGACCAAAATTCTTATAGGAACTTTTTCTGTCACTACAGTAAATGTATGGTGGTGTACATTGATAAGTTTTATGCCAATCTTTTCTAAATGTTATAATTTCTATACTGAAATCGGTATTTTCTACAATTATTTCTTCTTCTTCAATTAAGACTAAGTGAATTTGCACACTGGCAAACAAAAATGCTAAGCTCACAACTCATTTTTACTACTATTTACCTTTCAAATACAAATTATGAAAATGTACAGAGCACAGAGCAGTACTCTTCAGAGATAACAAAGATCAGGTTATGCATAATCACGGTACAAATGGTGTGAGCTCCCATTTGGCATTCTTTTCCCTTTGCTTGAAACTACTATAAAACACTTTGCTGTCATTAATAGAGAAATGCAACATCTCCCCACCAGCTCTCTTGACCCTACCAAACACCCTTTATAACAGAATGCTTATTATCCTGAAGATGAAGTGCTGGCAAAGAAAAATAATTCTTGGCTGCTTACTGGCATCTTCCTCTGGCACTGAGAGCTGCCATTGTGAAGCATCTCTTAAATAAAAGTTGCTTAGATCCTTCAGGCCAAATTTAGGCCAATTTCAAACAATTATTAAGGAAAATCATAGGAAAGAAGGTTTTTAACGGCTCAGAAAATTAGCCTAAGTTTTTCTTTAGCTAATCTTTAGTTTCATGGCCCACATATTTACTGTTTTGTTTTACTACTTTCATCAACCCTACAGCAGCAGCAGGCACCTGCTTTCAGCAAAACAGCTATAATAAACCCACTGTATTCTACCTGCCCAGCACTAAATGGCACAGTGTTTGCAGCTAGCAGGTGAGGATAGCTGAGCATTTAGTAGTTAAATACTCAAACATTGAAGACCAAAACAGAGTTACAAGGAGGATGAATGTTGGACTTACGGTGGCCAGAAATGAGCCAGAATGAATGTAAATTGTACAAATTGTTGCTATCACATTAGCCACAGCAACTTCATAAGGTGATAACATGTCAGGCTCTGAGTATTCACTTATTGTGGAGTTGCCACCAAGTGACCATAAACAAGTTTGTTCTGGCTTTTCATGCTTAACAAGGCAGAGAGACACAAAACAATTTCTATTTTTGATACACTGAGATATGTGAGACTCTATGGCACAGTTTGAAATTGGCTTAAGTCTTGTCTGTCTGGCAGAGACTATGTAGTCTGCTCTCTTAGTCACCCCAAGGCTCCATTCTAGGACCACTGTAGTTCAGACTTTAAATGCATTTGGAAAAACACAGACTTAGTTTGTATTGCCATTTTGACCATATACAGCTATTGGACGATTCTGCAGGTACAGGCATCTAAAACATTTGGCTAAGGTTAGAGAAAGATTGTAGGTGGAGGACATCTGTCAACGGCTGTTGCTCCCAAGAGGATGAAAGTGACACTACACCACCATCCACCACCCCCACACCCTAACAGTCTGCCTCACTACATAAAGTGTGCACACTACTTCCTGCTTTGGCATTGAACACTGGCACTGGACGAACATCGTGAGGTGCAGGAATTGCCAAAATGGACATAATCCCACATGGGCTGAAAATTCTGCATCACAAACTTTCTGATCAAAGACAGATGTTGTAATAATTAGAGCACAGAAGAAAGACAGAAGTTGTGCAGTGACAAATCCTTGACACAAAACATCAGGCCCTAAGCTAGTAACCATAGTCTGCTTTCTGATCCTCATCTGAATTTTGAAGCTCACATCCAAAATATCACCAGCATCATCTCAGGAAATTCTGCAAGAGTGTCTCTCCCACACAGATACAAAGATATATATACACACACACACAAACACACACATAGCCTATATATTGGCATTTCGCTTGAGTGACAGGAAAGGCAGGGGAGAGAGAGGGGATGAGATGCAGCAAATGGCCTCTGGGTCGACTCAAACCTGAGCTGTGCTGAGGTAAAGACTCAGCCTTGACTTGCCTGGTACGTGCTCTACCTGTTGAGCTACTGGGGCGCCCCCTATGTGTGCTTTTATAACTAGCAGGCTTGACTACAGTACTGTAATGCTTTCTTTTGCAGCCCACCTAAGAAAGCTTAAAACCAACTGCAGTGCAGCAGCATGTGTGCTGATCATTTAGTAGTAGACTCATCTTTGTACATAAAGGTCCAGTGTGTAACATTTGGGAGGATCTATTGGCAGAAGTGGAATATAATATGCGTAACTATGTTTTCATTAGTGTATTAGTGTATCACCTGAATATAGGAATCTTTATGTTTCTGTTACCTTAGAATGAGCCTTTTATATATAGAGATGACACGGGTCGCCTTCCATGGAGTTGAAGTCTGTCCAGAATGGACCAACCAAACACTGGCTGCAGATAGGGGTGTTTAGGTTTATTGCGTGTTTATCCGTACGTTCTCCTGAGCACTTGGGATGGGAGGATGAAGCGAGGGAGTTGCAATCTGCAACCGCTGGATAAAATAAATCCTACACACTGGTTAAGATTCTGTTTTAGTTCCTTGATCTACCAGTACCGTAACACTGACAGAAAAGCAGGTTTTAGTGTCTATGTGCCAATGACGTCACAGCATGTTAACATTTCCAAG